CAGTAGGCTCTTCAGTTCATGACAGCAGCCCGTGTCTTCTCTCTACTGAAAGGTCATTCCATCTAGGAACATGCCACATAGTGCTGTATTTATTAATGTATACCCTGGGATTGCTCTACATTAAACAGTCATTACACAAAGTAAAAATAGCCTTTGGAGCAAGGGCCAAAACCAGGGTTTCCCCTCTCCAAGTACATTTTTGTTATTGAGAATGTTTCTGAGGACATGGTGGGAGTAGGTATGAGGAGGGATTGGAGTAGCAATAATATTTTCACATTGAAAAAATTAGCATTTCACAGGAGACCACAGTGCCAAATTCCACTATGACAAATGTGTCAAGCAGATAATAGTATATCAGAACTGCCATTCATGAATAAGAACTTGAGAGGAGATCACAAGAATTGCCATAACCAATCAGTCATACTATCATTTTTTTCCTTTCTCCAGCAGGGATCACTACCAGATGTTTTAGAGCAGATTCAGGAAGCTCCGTAGCAGATAATTCTGGTGTAAACTTCTAGCAAGGAAACTTTTCTCCTTATCTCAGGCAGCTACTGATTGTTTCTGCCAAGGACCAGGAAGGTTTATATTGTTTTATTATCTAATTCACCTTACTAACTGCCGGTTAAAGAGCCCTGGTGAGGATGTGGATATGAAAGAGAAGATGTGGAAGAGAAAGGAGAATGATAAGAACACAGAAAAAGCAACAGTCAGGATGAAGAGGTGCGCAATTACACTGGAAGACTAGAAATACATGTCACGGAATCAAGTGGATCACCTGTGCCATAGTGTGTCACAGCACAGTTGATTCACTTCACTAGGCAAACCGCATGTTGCCCCTCATCCCACTCTTGATACTGCAGTACAAGGTGCAATGTCATCTCCACGCTTCCCCACTCAGCCAGACCCATCCTCCCGATCATGGGGAAAGTGGAGCTTTTCCCTGCTCAGAGACAAGGGGTGCTGCCCTGTAAGCAGGGAAAGTGGGCAGCTGGTCTGGGCCTTCAAGCCCGCAGAGCACTTGCCTGGGGTGGTTGGAGTGTGCCAGCAGCTCAGGTGCTTGTATTCTGCTGCCACAGAGGTAATAGATGACCTCCACAATAAAGCACATGAGTCTATTACTACCATGCTACTGATTTTCCTTTGATGCAACTCAACAAAGGGTAGGAACATCTATTTGCTCACAATTTGTGTTGCCATAAAAAAATGTGGGGTGGTGCAAATGAAATGTCAGGCAGCATCTGTTTCCACTCCTAGTCATTTAACAAACATCCCGTGAAACGGAAGCAATTAAAGGGAACAATATTTACCCTTAGTACTGTAGACCAAACCAAGATGACTAAAATAATCGAGTCTCAAACTGAATTGGAATCTAGGTGGATCATTATATAAACTTATTCAATGCCTGATTTTACACTAAGCATTTCAAGGCAAATGCCTTATATCAAGTGTTTTTTTATGGGAAGTCACATATTAAGAACAGGGATGTATTTGATAGCCATGTTGGTCTAAGACAGAAAGAAATGCAAAACTCTAGAACTCTTGGTTCAGAGAGGATACTTTTTATGAGACCAACTAAGAAATCTCAACAACAACAAAAATAATCTTTTCCTGCAAGTTTTTGGGTACACGCATCCTTCCTCAGGCTCAGGGAAAATTAGAGATGGTAAAAAGTCCCCATAGGTAGAAAAAACAAACTTCATTTTTGCACAGAGGAAGCTGAAGGTGGAAGTCTGTTCCTCTGGGTCCATGAGAGTGTCTTTGTGAGTCACTCTTTGATGTGCAGATAAGGCAGGATTCCTTCCCTGGTGCTGTCAGATGTTAAGAAGCAGTATACTCATTTAGAAATTGATCCAACAGATATGTGATCAGCAAGCAAACAGATTTATTTTCTGTGGTATTCCTGTCTACTTATTATTACTCTAAATATGTAAAATTGCGTAGAATAGTGAGATGTGAATGAATTAACACCTCAACTTCTAGGCCTGGAAAGAACAGAAATATTAGTTTATTACTTTCTTCTTTTAAACATTTTAGAGACTTACCAAGTAGTAAACGTTTTTATTAGGTCCTAAAGAGGTAACTTTTTGACAGGATGACATAAAAACAGGCTGTAAACTGCTACTGCCGTATTCAGGACGATACTGTCAGTAAGAAATTCAGCAAAGATACAAATGCAGGACTCACAATCAGAAAGAATTTATAGCCATATGTGGTTATCACTACCCAGTGCAAATTTGAAATAAAAAACTGGATCATTTGTTCTAGTTTGCTCATGTTTTTCCAGATACTGTGGCAGAGTGCTCTTTCCATAGACATTCATTTAAGTTAGAGACTGATTTAGGTGGAAAAACATGCTTCTGAAACCTTTCCTTCTTTCTAGGGCCCAGATTCAGGAAACCTTAACAAAGGAATAATTCTATATGCTAGATTTAAGGATAAAACCTATTGAGTCCTGGTTAACTAAGGTAATAAGATTGTTCTCTTGCATGATTTTATACTGTGTTCCTTGAGATACTGGAAGTGATCAATGTAATAAAGACTGTCTTTGTAATAATGTATTAAGCACAAAGAAATCAGTACAGTAGATAAGACCAGCGGCATATCCGTCAGTGTCCTATAACTGACAATTGCTATTAACACTATCCCATGACTCAGAGGAATATGCAAGAAGCCCCATAGTAAATAATTCTGATATAACTTGCTAATAATGGTAATTTCTTCCTGAACTGCAGTAGTTATTTATGCCCTGAAGAAAGATAGAGGCAGAGCTTACATTGTTTAAAAGATTGTATCTGCGGCATGTCTCAATTTTCTGAGTTTTTTTTACATAATATTATATTAATGTAGGTTCTCCTAAGGAGACATATGCTTCTCATCTGGCAAAAGACAACAGACGAATGTTATCTGCCATGTTCAATAATAAAGCATATTTATTTTAATTTTTATCTATTATGCTTTTATTTTTATTTGACAACAGCATGTAGCACTGTAAGGGACCAACGTCTGATGCCAGGTCTAAATGAACGATCCATTGCAAAACTGTAAGAATCCTACTTACAAATACTACACTATTCTGAAAGAAGAAGGAAAAGCATAGATGAAAATAGCTACTGTGCCTCCGGTTTGGCCACTGGCAAATGAAATGTGTCTTCTCATGTCCTGCATTCTAATATGCATCTAAGGCCCTCCAAAGGGCAGTTGGTCTGGTTTCTAAATAGCATGTGCTTGTAAGTATGTGCTGTCCTTCAGGTGTCCGTTTGTCCTTTCCCTGAATCTGAATTTGACTGTAATTCTTAACTACTTTTCTCCATTTGATTATGTATTTGAAGTTATCTCTGCTGTACATTTAGCCCTGTTTTCTAAATAGGGGGGTGTCCTTTTTCAGAAACTTCAAGTCCCCAAATAGTTCATGTCACTGTTGCACTGAAAGATTTAAGTGACCCTACATGATTAATATCTGACAGTGTTATATTTTGGACAAAATTCAAAGAGCAGAAAAGCTGAACATTTGTTAGACCCAAGTATTTTTAACATGGGATACAGATGGTAGCAAGGCATTTTCTAAGCTTGGAAGCTGGGTATAGAATATATTTCTGTTAACATTTCAAAGATAGCATCTGCAAAAAAACAAGCATAATTAATTGCAAGGGCAAGCAAAAGCATTTAAAAACTTGCATGGTTGTGATGGTTGTGTCCCAAATTAGCTATTTAGGAGATTATAACATAACATTTCAGCCCATACTTAATTGAGTTTGTCACTGACATAAGACAAAGTAATGGGCAAAGAACTGGAGGCTGGTCTGAGGTACTTTACAAACCAATTTCAATTTTGAACATTGTCTTAATAAACTTAGTTTTGGCAGAACCAGTAGGTAAGTATAATCCCATGAAATTATCAGGACCTTGATGAACCCAAAATTTGATGGAGTTTTGAAACAGGTGTTGCTATGATTACTCAGAATGAGTAATATCTGCTCCTAGATATAGACCTAGTGAATAAGGGTGTTAGAATCTAGCCTTAAATGTTCTGGCTTATAGTTGAATTTAATAACAAGATTTTATAACATTTTTAGTTGATGGATTAATTTATTTTGTCACAGATTTTTAACACAAGTTTATTACCAAATGACTTTCGTCATGCACAAAAATCCCTTCTCTCCTTTTCAGAAATCTAAGCTTAAAAATATATCAGAGTTTCTTTCCACTATCTGAACTTTAACCTCAGTCAGACTTTCTCATCTGTTACCACCTATGTTCATATAATCTTTGGTCACAGCATGTTGTTGCTAAAATCATGCTAAGTGCAAACTACCTGCTGTTTAGGAAATTATAACACTCAACTGCTCCTTTATCGGACTATAGGAGGTATGTGGTGTTCTCAACACCAGTACACAAGAAACAATACCGACTCAGGTAAATTGTCAAGGGAGAAAGAAAATGGCCTGGAAGATGGTGGTGTGGCAGCTACTAAATGTCAGCATTCAGTTGCTGATGCCAGTTTTTTGTTCTCTTGGGGTTTAAAGACTTCGTTAAGAAAGGGAAAAGCTTCAGAACTCATAAGTCAGAGAGGCTTAACCTTCATACGTTTCCATGGGGTAATTTAATTTCCTACCCCAGACATATTTCGTGTAGTAGCTTAAAGTTAATTAATTCTAAAAATTTCTCTTTTTACAACATTGTCACTGCTACTGCAGTGCACAATATCCCCGAAGAACAGCCATCTTACATGAATGGTTTGCTCTCTGTGGATGAAAAACTGCCCAGGCTAATATTACCCCAGGCGTGAATATGTTTTTTCATACGGGGTAACAACTTACCCCAACCCCATGTTAATGCATTCAGGTAACTTGTTACCCCAATGCAATTTCTGTATAAATGACAGGCCTAGACCTGTTTGGCCACTTTGGGTTGATGTATCTGAAAGGTCAGCATTCATTCACACCTCATTCATGTCCACTTCAGGTATCCATGGTAACTAACAGATGGTCATTCTCCACTCTGCTTTTGCAGAAGATGTGATAATCCCTTTTGCTAACCACTTTGTTTGCAGGCTACAAGGTCATCCAAACACAGGGCCCTTTGCCAAAAACAAAAAACCCCCCTGTGTCATACCCAAATCCACCTCTCTTGTCTCATGGCAAAACTCCGCCTCACTTGCCCCTTTCATAACATACAAGATAGTTTGCCCTGCCTTTTTGGAAGTGAGGACAAGGAGCAAAGGGACAGCAGAAAGGAAATAGAATAACATCATACTACAATACAGCATACACTTTGGAGTCCCCTTCAATGTTAAGAGTTTGACACTCCCATGCCCCTTTTACCTGTTCTGAATAAGCCCCTGAGTGTGTGGTTTCCAAACAGCATGCACCCACATTTGGCTTGCCTGCAAAGGGTGGATGCTGGTCTCTGGCTTCTGTGCCCAGGAGGAGAGGGTGCTACCTGCACTGCCATAGGGCAGGGTGGAATTGCTTCTGTGACAGCATAGGTGTACAGTCTTGTCTTTGATCGTTATTTATATGCATTCAGCAGTAACCTTTTTTTCTGCAGTCCAGGATGAGAATTTCCTGTGCATATTCAGTGCTGAAAACTGTCTTGCACAGGTAACTGGGGATCACAATGATACATCCACTGATGAAATCTTATCCCAAGGCAGTGAGGATGCTCACTTTGTTCCAGGCATTAGAGATTGTTCAGAGCAAGAAGACCATGTGCTTATGGAAGTTTCATCCAGCTCATATGAGGAGGAATTGGTGCCACAAGCAGAAATGATGCCAACATTTCCAGTGGGAAAGGGAAGAGGACAAGCCCAGGGCCACTGTGGAAGACCAAGGAGAGCTACATCAGGACATGGAGCAGAACCACTCCCAGAAAACATTGCAGATCATAACACCTTTAGAGGAAAGAATAGCAGAGGCTGGGAAAAAAAGTCCATAGCTAATACACTATTGGAGAACAGCCAAGGATATAGCCCATGAAAGTGCTGAGCCAAAAAGAGAAAGTAATCAAAATAATGGTGGAAACATTCCACCTGCTTCTCTCACAAGATAACCTGACTTTTATTATAAAAGAAGCAAACAGAGAGGCAGAAAGAAGATTTAGGGAGTAGAATGAGAGCCGTCATATCGATTCCATCAAGTCACCAACTACGCGAGATCTGATATCAAACTGACACGTGACGAAAGGAGAGCTGTGGACAAGCTTGCTGCCTTCAGAGATTGTAACAGGGGGCAGCTCAAGGCCAGGTCTCATGCCAGCCCACCCACCTGTCTATGGGGCAGTCCACCCAGTCTCTCCTGACTCGACTTTGCTGTTCTAAAAAAAAATAGATGGTAAAATGCTAGAGACTACCTATTACATGTCCCCATGCCAGGGGGTGCTATCTGCAGCTCTGAACCTCCCCCACACTGCAGCACATGCCTCGCAGATGACATCCATGGTGTCATTATGTTCCCAGCCTAGAGCAAGGCCAAGCTTAGCCCTCGCTGTCAGGCCTCTTTCACACACATATTCACTCCGCCCTCCTCTCACTAGGGCCTCTTGCATTCCACCCCCTCTCACAGGGTCTCTTTCTCACATAAACAACTTATCCTACCCTGCTCCCTCTTGGAGCAGATCCTATAGGCCATAGGCTTTGTCCGGATCACACCTTGGGTGGCAGACATATAGTTTTTTGTGCCTCTTCCATGACCCTTACCTGGGTAGGGGCCAGCCAAGTTCCTGACCTGAGCCAAGCTTGCCCTGTCCCCTCCCAGGGCAGCTTTACATGAACATACATAAACAAACACTGGGCCCCCGGCCCCACATAGTGAGCTCCTAGCCCTCTGTTCCCTGTCTCTGGGGCTCCACACTTCCCTCAACTTGCTCTCCAAGGGTTGGCCCATGTGGTGCCCTTCAGGCTGTCCCACAGCCCTACTCAGCACACCCCATTGGGCTACCCTTCAGGCTGACCCTGGGCCCTACTCAACCCTCTTCAAGGCCCTCACTACAACCCCCTCTCTGGGGCTACACATCTACCTGTCCTTCAGGGCTCCAGGGTTTCAGGTGGCTGCAGACATACCTGGCCCTGCCTAGGTCTTACACCCTCTTTGGGCTTAGGTGGCTGTAGCTTTTTCTGGTCCCCATGTATCCACAGTGTTGTGGAGGCTAGAGGTTAAGGTACCCCGATGCACTTTTCACCAGGGTGATAACTGGCCTGGCATTTCCTGGGGACTCCCATGCCACCACGAGCCCCACCAGGCCACCCATCCCTGGCAAGGTACAGTTTTAAGTCATGCCCAGGACCAAGAGCCTCCTAGCCATCCCCATAAGCTCTTGCCCTTACCTCCTAGTTTCTCCTGCTGTAGCTCAGCTAAGCAATGTTTATGCCTGGGCTGCCAGCAGCAAACTCCTGTATTTATATAGGTAGCCAGTGTTTTAAAATGGCGCTGCAATCAAGCACCTGCTGGCTGCTTGACTCAGCCCTTAAAGTGGCAGGCACTGCAAGTGCTCTGCTACAGAGATACTTGGATACAATTTGTGGAGCAGCTCAGGAAATGCTATATTCCAGGAATATACCTCATGGTTGATGAGCAGCTCATTGCCTTCAGGTGTCACTGTTCCTTCAGACAGTATATGCCCAGCAAGCCTGCCAAATATGGCTTGAAACTTTGGTGGTGCTGTGATGCAGCAATGTCATTCCCCCAGTCTGGAGACATCTACTTGGGCAAGCAACAAGAAGCTCTACACCATGGTGAACTTGGTACCAAGCTCATTGAAAAACTGGTTCATCCCTGGTACAAGACAGGAAGGAATATTGTAGGTGACAATTTCTTCACAAGTACTAACCTGGCAGAAAAACTGCTACAGCAGGACTTAACCTATGTGGGCATGATTCGGAAAAACAAGGTCAATATCCCAAACAAAATGCAAGCAAATCAAAGAAAGGAAACTTTTTCGTCTATTTTTGCTTTTGATGGGGAACTCACCCTAGTTTCTTATGTTCCAAAGGAGTCCAAAGTTGTGCTGTTGCTGTCAAGCATGCACCATGACCTGTCGGTAGGTGGAAAGCAAAGAAAGCTGGACTTCATCCATGACTAAAGTAAAAACAAGGATGGGGTGGATAACCTTGACCACTTCGTTTGTATGACCGCCTGCAGAGAGAACATCAAGAGGTGGCCAATGATACTATTTTTTAATATGCTGGATGTGGCTGCCATTGCCAGCCTCATCATTTGGCTTGGCCACAATGCAAATCGGAAGCAAAGACTACATTTAAGAAGATAGCGATTTTTTGCAGGAGCTTGGAGAACAGTTGATTGACAGACAAAAAAACCAAAGATTGATGGATACACGTAATCTGTGTAAGCCTTTCAAGCCTGGTATGACTGTCCTAAATTACAAATTGCCACAATGCATCCCAATAGAACCTTCTGCAAGCATGAGTGGGCATTGTGCTTTTTGTCCAAGGACAAATGACTGCAAAACCCAGAAACAACGTGAAGATCGTAAGCCATTTCCTTGTGTGCACCACAGTACAGCACTGCTGCTTTGTGACGAATGCAATATTTAGTTAAAACAGGAAATGTTTCTTGAAGTAATTGTTAGTTTGAAAACAGTGTGAACTGCAGACTTAACAAATTATTCCTTCAAGTTTTGAAACTCTGAAAAAGTTTAAATTTTGTTCATAGTTCTAGTTAAATAATATTTGGGGTTCAAATCATCATAAATACTCTTTCAAATAATCTGTATGGTTAATAAATAGTTTTTGGTTCATTTATACTGTTGTCACTGGTTCCATTTTATTCATGCATCTGGGGTAACAAGTTACCCCGTGAGACCAACAGTGTCAAATTGTGGGGTAACGAGTTACCCCATGAGAACAACAATGAACAACAGTTTCATGAGAACAGATAAGGGTTAAAACCAAGCAACTAGGAAAGTAACTTGCATGCTTCATCATACTGATGAACCAATGGTTTGCAGTCAGTTGACATACAATTTTCCTGAAATTGCACTTGACCTTCCCTGAATTAGAAATTGTTAGTCAGATTGAGTTACGTGATTTTATGATGCAAACAAAAAGTGTAGTTAGAAAATAAAATCTCCCAGTTCATTATCTGAGATTTTGTATGCATGCCCACAAGTGAAAACTCATTACATTCACTTGTCCCATTCTTCCCAGTTCTTTTTATTTGATAGCGCTGATGTTTCGTTGCTCATTGAAATTCTCTAGGTTCTTAAAAATAACTCAGTTAACCCAAAGGAATAGGTGAAAACTTGAAGAAGTCTTTATTGTTTTAACTAGCCAATTGCCTGTCAAGAATGAAGGGCTTGGGGGGTGGGGAGCGGCCAGGAACAGAGGCCTGCAGAGGCTCCAGCTCCCCCCACCTTCAGGGCCAGGCCAGTCCTCTCTCTATATGCTGACCCTGTCTTCCCCCACTCCATCACCTGGCCCCACCCCCACTCCACATGCCCTGTCAACAGCCCAGACCCCTTTCTGTCCACCCCATCACCACCACCTGCAGGGAGCAAGGGGAGCATGGCCAGTGGTACTGATCTTGCTCCCCCCACATCTGTCCACTCTTTTTATGCCCTGCAGGGAGCAGGGGGGCGGGGTGGGACCAGTGCCGCTGGCCTCACCCCCTGTTCCGTGGGCTCCATGGCCGCCATCTCCAGGGAGTCACCACTGTCACCACTGCTGCCTGAAAAGGGGGTGTGGACAAGGACAGAGGCCTGCGTCTTCCCCCACTGCTGCTTTGGGGCCAGGCCCATTCCGCCCACCCTTGCCCCCGCTGCTTCAGGGCCAGGGCTGTTCCGCCTACCTCTCCCATAGGGCCAGTGAAGATGGAGCCCAGCATCTGGCCCTGCACCCCCATTCCCCTCATCTGGCCCTGCCCCCCCCCCC